TCTGACCAAGCCAGGAGCCTTGAGCTGGTGGAAAGAGAGAAGCAAGCGCTTGCCTCTTCTCTTGAAGCCAAAGTCCAAGCATTGACGGAATCGGAAGGACAGAAGACGCTCCTGTCTGACCAACTGACAAAGGCGCAGGAACGGCTTGCCATGATCGAGGGTGAAAACAAGACCCTCGACCAACGCAAGACCGAACTCGAGCGTCAGTATTCGTCACTGCAAGCGCATGTGGAAGAGCTTGATGGTCAAAAGAAGAGTCTGTCCGACGACAAGGAAGCCCTTCAGAAACGGGCTGACCTGTTAGAGGGTCAAATGAAGTCTCTGTCTGAGGACAAGGAAGCCCTCCAGAAACAGGTTGACTTGTTGGAGCGTCACAACAAGACTCTGTCCGATGACAAAGAAGCCCTGCAAAAAAGGGCCGGCTGGCTGGACAGTCAAATCGAGACACTCCTTCGAGATCAGATCAAGCTTCGCGATCAAGATAGGACCCTCCTCAAGCAAAAACAAAAACTTGTAGAGCAGCTGGCCTTCTCGCAAGGCCAAAACTTGACGTTGGGTGAGAGCAAGATCCATCTCAAGGGCCAAATCAATGCTCTCTGCGTCGAAAAGACCACGCTACAGGGAGAGATTACTCGCCTTCAGGGACGGGTCAGCCACCTCGAAGGTACTACCCAACTCACTGACTCCTTGCAGCAAGGCCTTTCCGCCGTCAATGAACTCACAAAGAGGTTCGAAGAGGATAAAGCGCGGCTGCAAAACGACAACACCGCGGCCAAGACCAAGACTGAGGGCCTGGAGGCCGAAGTCGACGTTCTCGAAAACGAGAACACGGCCTTGAAACAACGAGTTGCCAGCCTCGAGACTGAGAAAAAGTCCCTCTGCGAAGCCAATTCCACCTTGGTTGGCGAGAAGCAGAGACTCCAAGGTTCACTCGACGTTTACGAGCAGAGCAATGAAAAATTGCAGACCAAATTTGACAAACTTTCCGGAGAGAACAGCACGCTCAAGGATCTCAACACCCAATGGGAGAAAAAGAATGACGAGGTTTTGAGCGACAAGATATCAACCACTAGAGAGCCCAATGATGTCAAAAGAAACCTCAATGATGTCAGAAGAGACCTAACTGATGCACAAGCAGCAGCTCAGTTACAGACCGGGGAGGCTGCAGAACTCCGGAAGCAAGTCAAAGCGCTCACTGACAGTGTAACAAAATCCACGGACAGGGCCGAAGCTGCCGAGACAGCCAGCTCCAAGTCCAAGACTGAGCTATCCAAGGTCACCATGGAGCTTGAACAAGCCAACGAGAAGGTGTCTAAGCTCGAGACTCAATACAAGTGTGCTCGAGACTTTACCGCCACGCTTGATGATTTTGTCAAAAAGTCGCTCGAGGCCGCACAGGTAGCGCTGCCCGCCACACCAGTGGATTCGCTGCCTTCTGCATCCCGCAAGAGACCCAGGGAGGCTTCGCCCGACAGACTCGAAGGCCGTGGTGCGCCCGACAACACTACCGTTGTCGTCCAGCAGATCTTGGATGATTTGCAGGAAATAGGTGCATTGTGGGACTACAACGAACTCACTCTTGCAGAGCTAATGGGCCATCTGAGCATCCTTTGGAACGACCATAAAGCTCGCGCTCACTGGCATGACTTTATACGTTCCGGTCATCAAGGCTGTTACTGCTTCTACAACTTGGTTCGCTCCGGATATGGACCGTCCTCTAAATGCAAAAAGTACATCAAATGCTCTCGGGACAACCAAGATATGCCGCCGTGTCTGCATCTGGATGTGGGCGGCACGGCACGGAAGCGTAAAACAGGGTTTAACATCCCTACGGACGATGAAGATTATTATGGGTGGAATGATTAATTGAATGGTTTGGACTGCTCAACATCGTCTACTGCTCTTGTGCTTGAGACTTGTGTGATTGTGACCATAACCTCTCGAATATGAATGGGCAGGGATTGTTTCTCATCTTTTGTCTTCGTACTAGAGCCTTCACTCCAACAGGAAGAACATTCTGTTCATGTCAGAATGTTTTTTGTATGCTGCCAATTTTACTCACTTTGGATGATATCACTTGATATGAATTTGCTGCCGGATCTTGTCAGAACGTTGCTACCTACCTATCTAGAGGTAGGTACCTAGTTTTACCCCTCTCACCTCGGGGCGGCTTGGCCTTGCTGTGGAATGACACACGTTTGCTATCATCTTCCTAGCTTGCAAGACATGACCGTGATGGCATCTATCCAACACCGCACCGTACCACATGAGTGTCGCCACGGCCGTTTCGCCAGTTCATGAGCAGATGCCGAGCTTGCTATACAGCGGCTTGTGTTGTTCCAGACGAAACTCGGGCCCGTAATTGTATCAGCCGCATCAGGCCTGTGCAACTGCAACGTTCCCACAGAGCCAAACGCTGGCGCATCTCGGCAACGAGGCGGACAACGTGCCCCCCAGGAAGCACTACAACAACTGCAACAAGAAACCGAAGAACAAACAGCGGAGGAACAACTGGACGGTGCTTCCTTGGGTCAGCAGATCCAAGATCGTTTTGTTCAAACGCTACGTGAGGATCACGAAGGTACGACCATCCCTGAAGAGATGCCGCATGATGTTTTCCGGCTGCCGGACCAATTTTCCCGGGCGCTGATTATGGTAGGAAGAATCCTATTTCATGATATCCTCTATCCAGTCTTGATCCGTAGAGGCTACCTATACCGCAAGCGGACAATTTCTGCGACTAGGTACTACTGTACCTCTACATTCCCAAACGGCGAACAGTCCCGCAAGAGACCCCAGAAGAACTTGTCCGATCAACACCAAGATAGAAGCGAGGAGCAGAACAAAATTGGTACATAGTACGTAGACGTAGGAGTTAGAAAGGATTCTTTACGTAGAGGTAGGGAGATAACCTCAAATGCAAATACATTCACCGACATCTTGAAGACATTTTTGTCTCACTATCTGTACAAAATGCCTTCTCGTACGGTGGGTGCTCCCGTCCATTATATGAACTCTTCAGTCCAAGAACTAGACTGGTGGTGACCAGTGGTCTTCAGATCCGGAATGGAAGCAAAGGTTGGACCCCGAGGGTGTCTGTCATCATTTGTTAGGCGCTACCTATGCACTCGTGTATGAGGTTTCGGGTGATATCACACGATAGAGGTACCCAGGTTTCTGGAATCTATCAAATTCCTCATAATCTATTTTCCTACTCTTGGCCAGAATTGTCACACGGCTTGTTGCTGGCCGTCACAGCCAGCGATGATCATCACCCATGGAAGCATCAGACCAAAACATGAGACAGATTTCCCTTTTGCGTGCAAAGGGAAAATCAAAAAGACGGACACCATGGAATGTCATACATTCATTCATCTTGGAGTTGTGGAAAAAGCACAAGGATTTACCGCAGTCTCAGTGGAACGTCCTCTTCAACAGGATCGAGATCAGAGCTGTTCAAGGTCACTATGCTATGGAAGCAAAACCAGCTGAGGTCAGCCGTAAAGAGGACGCTCCGTAGAATATCCACACTCTTGATCTCAATTGCCTCGTCAAAGCCCTCGATTTTAGATCCCTAGGTACCCCTATGTAGTGGCCAATGTGTAGGTACTTCGACATACATTTTGTCTACAGGAATGACCGGTCGATGCCCGGCCACAGCGACCTCCGCCCTTCATCCATCCACCGTAGCATAGAGCTGGACGAGCAATGCGAAAACAGATGGCTACGTACTAGGGAAGTTCCATACTGCCCCGTCAGGCAAGACATGCTCACGAGAGAAGAAATTGCAAGAAGGGAAACAAGGGCAAGGTAGAGAAAGAATAAATGAAAATCAGCAATTGTCAAACAAAAGAGTCCAGCCAAGTATTGACCCGGGTAACTGACGAGGACATCAGCAAACATATACCCGAGAACGTAGCTCACGATACTTGTATCTTCCTCGAGGGCAGGGACCTCTGCTATAACAGCTTCGAATATGGTCTTGACCAGGTCTGGAGTCGGCGCGATAATGGCTGTATTCAGATCAGGCTCAGGTACGCCGACCTAGGTCGAAAGATAGCCTACGTCTACCTCGGCCGCTAATATTTTGCAAGCAACGGCTCAACAGTGCATGAATAGGCAAGACCGCGCACACACACGAGACACGCGACAACGGGTCGATTGCGGAAAAGATGTAACAGATCTCAGGTCGACTGGGGGACGCTGCTGTCGCTGGAAATACAAAAGAAAGTCGCGAAATATTTCTGGAAGCCACTTGGGCCAACTGGTGGCCCTGTTTCTCCTCCATCAACAGGCCAACCGCCCAATATCAAGTTCCATATGGGGCAGGAGAAAAGGTAGCAAACGGAAGATGGACAAGCGGTTGAGCATGAGCGTTCCTGTATACACGTTTTCGCCAGTATCCGATCCCGAGCAGAAGTTCGCGTGCCACGCCATCGGCAGATTTGCGCCTCGACTGAGTCGAAACCGTATGGGTTTGCCAGTGACAATGACTATTTCGTCGGGGTTGTGTCTTCTACGCACATTTCAACGCCTTCTGGACTTTCTACGCTTCTTGTCTGAATCTCGAGATGACGAAGCATCGAACCACCAAGCGCTCACCATGTATTCCGGCAAAGAGCCAGACGCAAGGACTTCGAACATGTGGCAATCTTCCGCCCCGGCTGTGCAAGAAAAGCGTGTGGCCAGTGACGATGATCATAGGCACTTTTTGAGCTACGGACCGCCTGCTCAACAAGATATCTCCTGACAATGAGTCGTGTAAGCCTGGCGGCTACCGAACGGATGACCCTCTAGTCAATGTGATCGATCTTCGGGGGTGTTTGTTCGGTAATCGGTCGTCCGCTTGACAATCGTGTGTTGCCGCCATATATGTAGCCCTTGCTTTGCTCGTGCGCTCGTAGTATGTATGAAACCCGGAACCTGGTTTTCCAACGTGTTAGCGATCGGGATGCCGGCTCCATGTCTTGCATTGAATCCCTTGTTCGATTACCACCTTTTTATTTGGCCTGCGTGTCTTTGGTCTGTTGCTTCCTAGCAGGCGGTGCATGCCTGGACGCCGACAAACCCTTGTGGACCTCGGTGGCCTGCTGTGGAACTGCCTCATCAGCGCCATCTGACTCCTCGTCGGCCCAGCGTGTGGGGGTTGTGCGTGGCGGAAATACCACCTGGAATGCGCCGTCGACGTCAACTGACGACACTGCCTTGGGAATCGCCTTGGGCTTTGAAGGTGGCCCAGGAGGCTGCTTGACGCCAGGCTCAACAGAGCTTAACGAAGCAACCGCCTTGGGTTTGGAAGGTGGCCTAAACATGTCGGGACCTTGCTGTGATGAAAACAGCGACGGCTCCTTGATTGGGGCCGGGGGACTTGAAGGTGCCACAGAAGGCTGCTTGACGCCAGGCTTGATAGAGCTTGACGGAGCAACCACCTTGGGTTTGGAAGGTGGCCTAAACATGTCGGGACCTTGCTGTGATGAAAACAGCGACGGCTCCTTGACTGGGGCCGGGGGATTTGAAGGTGCCACAGGAGGCTGCTTGACGCCAGGCTTGATAGAGCTTGACGGAGCAACCACCTTGGGGTTGGAAGGTGGCCTAAACATGTCGGGACCTTGCTGTGATGAAAACAGCGACGGCTCCTGGATTGGGGCCGGGGGACTTGAAGGTGCCACAGAGGGCTGCTTGGGGCCAGGCCTGGTAGCACTTGGCGAAGCAACCGCCTGGGGTCTTGGAGGTGGCGTAGACGATTTGTTCCCTTGGGTTTGCTGCTTTTGAGCGGCAATGCTGGGCATGGCCACACGATTTGGCGCCTTGGTCGTTTGTGTGACAGCGGGGGCAACTGACAGCGACTCCTTGGCGTGGAAATATTCCGCGCCCGGCCTGGAGGCTGACGAGGTTGACGGGGTGCCAAACAAGGACGGTGGATGATCACTCGCCGCAAACTGGACCATCTGTTTGGCCAAGTCCTCGGATTGTCGTGATGATCCAACAGATGCAGCATCCACATCCGGGAGGCGGGCTAGATCGATCGCCCTTGAGTGTTGCAAGTGTCCCATTCTGGCTTCATGCGTGTGTCTCTGCGCTTCCTTGAGGCGTTGTTTATAGAAGACAGCATACTCTGCCGCGATTTGGTGAGTAGGATCTTTCGCATGTAGAGTACTGCGGGCCTTTTGAAACTCTTGGTCGAGCCGGTCAAGGAAAGGGCTTGGTGCACCAGGATAGTACTCCTCGTATGCGAGCATGCCGACATAAAGAATGAAAACGTTCGGGGTTACCTCGTCTGGAGGGAGGTCCATTTTGTAAAGTTGTTCAAGGGCGGCCTGTCTGGCCTCTTCGTAGTGGAAGGACAGCTGGCGGCGAGAAGTGAGGTCGCGCCGCATTTCTTGACAATGTAAGTCCATGAATCTAACAATGTCGTCGTCGACGAGTTCCCATGAGGTTGGGCCCATCTTGATAGCTGTTTTTCTGACCGTATGTCGATCAGATTTTGGTGATGTGTAGTTGAAAAGGATAAACAAGGCTTTGGGCGGGGCAAAAGTTGACGCAAACTACCTACTTGTGGGGATGGGGGAGGCAGAGCCGCACGGGCCATCAGGGCTTTCACTGACATTTCAATTCCAGGTCATTCACTCAGCTTAAGACAATAGAAATAGTGGGGCCGTGTGCCCCAGTGGCCCGTCAGACTGGAGGGGTTGTCTGGCTTTTTTCCTTTTTCCTTTTTTTTTTTTTTTTGGCAGCCATTGCTCCAATGGGCGGGGCCACTCCAGCTTCAATCCAGTACATAGGTACCTAGCTTCGTACTCTACCTCGGTGGTGCCTAATATACAAACACTCTGGTCCAAGGCCCAACGCACTAGCGAGCCATAAAGTACAAACATGTTTCCTGTGGGTGTAATTTCTGTGCTATCTTGATATAGCTTAATATGAGAAACGTTGGAGACTGCGCTTTGCATACATATCGACACAATGTAAGGTACCATCTCACTAGGGACGTGCCGGGCCGATAGGGCTGCATAGTCCGTACAACCCACCGGAAGTTACCCACCTGTACATAGCTGACATTACACCCCCACAGGGCTACTGGTTCCGCTGCGCAAACAAAGTACCCTGCCTGTGCAGGTGGTGCCACCTAACGTCCGCAGCAGTTTCCACTTGGAAAGACGGCCGGGATTAGGTAAGCTGCCACTCGATTAGAAACAGCCAGGACAGGGGTACCTCAACACTTCAGTTTTGGACTGCGCACTGCTTTCAAGCTGCTCTGTTTGCTTCCAAACACACAACACAAAGGCAGGTAGCTACAACTCCCCCCACCTGGCGCATTCTGTACCCTTCACCCAACGTGTTCAGACACAAACTGACTGGAAATCGCATATCTATCCAGTACCGAAACCAATCATGTCAACATCGAAAGCTACCAAGGGCTCGACGGTCTCGGAAGAGACAACACAGCAATGGCTGGCCGAGATCAGGGAATTCCCTTGGCACACGGATGCAACTTTGCGACAATGCGCATGTCTTCGTCTCTTCGGATGACATACAACGCTCTCACTCTCCTTGCCGCGGAAATTGGAGAGATGACGACCAAGTCTCCTGAGGAGAAAGTTCTGGCAATGTACATTACCGCTTACGAGAAAAACATCGAGCTGCTCCTGAAACCACCGACCGGCAAGAACCTGGCGCAACAGTTCGAGTTCACCACAGCCTGCGGTGTCTCGAAAAGGCTCCGAGGCGACGATTTCTGGACATCGCCAGATGGCGATTCGTACACAACCATTATCGCGGTCTTTGACGCTGCGTTTGCGTCCACCAACAAGGACATGATGATGGCATCAGCATCCATGGTGCATTCCTTACGGACCCAACTTTCCGAGGATACTCCTCTGAAGCGCTTTTCTCTGATTACGCTCTCAGATAGCGGCATTCAGTTCTTCCCGGACACCGCGCATTTGAGCCGGGCGTTCGGCTCCAACACGATGGTGACAGAACACACTCTAAAGGACGAGCATCCTCCACGGGTGTTGTTTCAAGATTCGCGCTGCTCCTTTCCAGAGGTCACCGAAAACATATTTGAAAGTTTGTATTTGGAAGCTGACAGTCCGCAGCGGGAAGTGACCACAGCATCGAGACTGGTCGTGTTCACAACAGCGGCCAAGAATGCGGGCCCGTTGAAGAAGATGTTGCTTACACGTCTCTCCTCGCCAGATTTTAGGTCGGCCGGCACACTTCGTACGTGGATCGTCACAGCAAATAACGTCACAGATCTGCTACCCAGCTTGGCACAGGACCTGAAACATATACCGAACCTGAAAGCGGTAGTTTTTGTCACGCCAGAGGTCCGCTTCTTGCGTCCACTCAAGCACTTTTACAAACACTTTGCCTTTGCGAGCGAATCCAAGTTTGTATTCAATCGCAGGTTGCAAACAACCGTGGAGGACTTGGTCCCTGTCTCCCAGGTGGAAGCTCAGTCGTTCGCATCCGTCGCTCATTTTGGGACAGGTCCGGCCAAAATCACGCTGCTGCGTCGTGAAGACGCGGAACCGCTCGCCATATTTCCCCGAACGGAGTCACTTGCATGGCTCGTTGAGCCCATGGAGACCTTGCTGTTGTTGATTGATGCCCACACTGGCGTGGCTGTCAAGGACTTTCTGGCCGTCATGTCGCATGCTCGCCAGTGTGAGGTGTTTCTCGTCGATGAGATGCTGTATCGACTAACCCACCGGCAGTTGCTTCTGAAGGACGACGACAAAATAAGCCAAGATGGCGCTTACAGCCTGTTGGATCCCTCAATGCCCGCGCGATTGTCTGGTACAGGCAAGTTGACAGATGCTTGCCTCCTGTTCGAGATGACAAAGCTCGCCAAAGAAGAAGGCGTATCCATGGCCGCATTGCAGACACTAGCTGCCTGTAGAAGTGTCATGCTGGTGACGGTGGATTGGATCCTGAAACACGTGAACTGGAACAGCGTGGCCATATCAGAGGTTCACAAAGCGTGTATCGGCCCTGGTGCGCAAATGAGCCAAAAGGGGCCCATGTGGCTTGCCATGGGTTTGGTTGCCAGGGCCTTGCGAGAGTGGGATGGCACCGATCAACCGGCCACATTCAACGTAGGATCCGAAGACAAGGTGACCGTCATCAAGCTACGTAGAACCTTGTTGGACAAGTTCAAGCACGAGATGGCCAAAACGGGCTCCATTGTGGGAATTCCAACCGAGGACAGCGAATCTTGGGCCTCCGCCGTTCTATCGAGCAACGACATTCGACTTGTTGAGAAAGTCGGTGTCAAGTGCCACATTGACCAACTCTATGTCGTACGGAATCCGGAAGCAGACAATGTCATTTCGATCCTGGAGACGACCTGCTTACCACTCGATTCCGGTTTACTCAACAACACCCTGTGGTGTCTGGTCCAAAGCCCCCCGAGGGTAAAGACGGGCCCAGATTGCCAGCTGAGTGCAGCGGTCAGCGTCGCGCTGAGTGAGTTTGGCGAGCCGGATGCCAACGACGATATGGAAACCGTTGTCAAAGCGGTCAATCACTGGTGTTTGTACAGGTCCGACAAAACGCAGTAGGCCTTGGCCACAAGCACGGGTTAGATTGAGTGATTACCGAACTGGAGCTGAACAAATCAAACTGTTTCAACTCCCACACCAACCGAGTAAAAGTTTCCATGTGACATGTGAATGAAATTTGATACAATACAAGTGACATTTTCGATGCATGAACGGATCAGTAGGTAATGTGCTCATTAGTCACACGTCTTTTCCCGATTCGTGATTCCTCCCGTGTTCATCCCTGAATCCATAATCGTAAAGGGCACCATTGTCGTTTACCACCATAGAAAAAACACGCTTGACTTGAAATTTTCCAAAAGGTCTGCATGTGGCGATAGATGGAATTGGATTGGCCAGGACCATCATATGAGAAGACGTTTCGTGTGATTCAAATCGGCCAAGGTCTCAATATAGCCCAATGTATTTCAGGTAGGTAACCACGTCGGTTTGTAGGAAAAGAGACTATGTTGAGTGGGTGATTTGATGTTTACATGTATGCAATTTTGGCATGGCTACCTCTACTTGTCCAAAAGCATGGCATGCATTGAACATTTGACGCACAAATCACGATAATTATGGCAACATATCACATGGAAACGCGGCGACGGCGTAGAGGAGAGCAGCAATTCAATTACCGCTACCTATTCCCCCAACGGCAACAACTGCAAACGTTGTCAGCTTTGGTGTAGACTTTACCAATAAACACTCCTTGCCAGGCGGATGCGCGTCGGGCGCACCCGAGCATGGTTTGGTGTTATCACGTCGAGTATCAAGCCCGTGGCCCGACCGAGCCAAATGAGTAAAGCAATGCCAAATGTTGGCTTGATTTGATTTGGAAGCCAGGCTGGTCTGGATGTAGTGCTTCCAGTGAGCACGAGCCTGGGGGTTTTCCCAAATCACGCGAAGATGATTGAGAACCTTTGGCAGCGGGATTACGACCAAGTTGACATTGAGGCGCATTTCCGTCAAATCGTCCAGGATCTCCTTGAGGAAGACGTCCTTTTGTCTCTGTGAATTGTGGTGCCCTTTGGGTCTCTCCGGCGAACTGTCCCGACGTCTCTTGCGAGGTCGTGGTTCGTTGAGCGAGGTAGAGGGCGACGATGTTTCTATGGATTGCCTACTAAGAGGCGTAGGGGGTGGCGGCGGTACCTTGGTAGACTTGGGCCGTGTTCGTTGTGGCAGTAGTGCAGTAAGGGGATCTCTTCTAACCCTAATCCAAAGCTTTTCTGCTACTAAAAGAATGCTTCCGTTACTGTACTACTGCCGGAACGAACACGGCCTTGAATGACTCTTGCAGCTCCTTCAGCGCGGCGGTAAAATAACGACCCGGATCGTCGCGATGTTCCAGCTCCTTGACTTTGTCGTTAGCCTTTTGGAGCTCCTTCTGGATCATGGCAAGTTCCGCATTGGACTCGGTCCTGGTTTTTCTGGCTTCCTCGGCACTTGCATTGAGGGCCGCGATTTGCCTCTCGAGTTGTGTAGCATTTTCGGCTTTTAGTTGACTGTCCGCCTCTGCATTGGATAGCTTTTGACGCCATTCGCCCTTGTCCTGTTCGAGCTTTTTGATTTCATCGGAGCGTGTGTCGAGCAAAGCCCTGTTTTGACCGAGTTGATGGTCAAGGTCCTTATGTTGATTCTCAAGGCAAGCGATATGACTACGTAGCGTAGTGCTTGCTTCGGATAGAGAACGGATTTCGGCCTGGAGTCTGGCCTCTTTTTTGGTAAGTGTGGCAACATCCTGGTGAAGGGTCTTGTTCTGGCCATCCAGGAGGTCAGCCTGTCTTTGGATGGTTTCCTTGTTCTTGGAAAGAGTCTCGTTTTGACTCTGGAGTGTAACTGCCCTCCTCCCAAAAGACAGGGTCGACGTAGGGGCACAATTTGTTGGTGACGTGCCGATCTCTGCGTTTTGTTTCGATGAAAAACAGTCTGGCCGCTTCGAGCACCCAGAGTCCGCAATCCCAACCGAACTGTTGATGAGGAAATGCGTGCGTCAAGGTGTCACTCCGAACCTTCTCTTGCTTTCCCTCTTTGTTCCTGTACACGCAGTTCTCCTTGTACAAGACCCTGAGCGCGGTCTTGATCCGCTCTACCCTTTCCGTAGTGAAGTCCGAGTCGTATAGGTGCCACACACTGTCCATTTGGTCAACGATCACCAGCGAAAAGTGGTTTCTTGCCCAAATTGGCAGACACCACCATCGTGTCCTTGCCAAGAATTCTTTAATAGCTTTTTGAAGCTCCGCCCTTTCCTCGGGCAAACCTTCCAAAAGGAGAGTATGGTGTCCAAGCAGGGTCTGTTGCCTGACCAAGGACTTGTTTGAAGCCCGAAGCTTTGCAAGCTCCTGTCGCTGTCGTGTAACCTGTCCAGTCAAATCGGTATCTCTGGCTTGGAGAAGGGCGATTCGTTCCTGGAGGTCGTGCGTGCGTGTGTCCAAAGCGGACTTGTCCTGTTCCAGTTGGCGGATTTGATCTCGTAATCGGCGCTCGTCCGTTGCGACCCTGAATGTCTGGATGATGTCCCCTAAGAAGGCCTTCCGTATATCTACGATTGTGTGCAGTCGAGTACTGAGGTTCTCGAGTCTAGCGTCGAACTTGAGCTGCTCTTCGCTCAGCTGTGCCTTTTGCTTTTTGAGGCTTGTCTCCTGCTCGGCAAGCTTTTTACGGAGGGCTTCGAGGTCATGCTTCTCGCCGTCTAAATAATCAGCTTGTTCCTGTTGCTTCTCTTCTTTCTCCTTGACTTCGTCCCATCGGGGTTGAAACTTTTTATTGTGTTCATTGATAAGAGCCTCTTGCAGTTCCTTGAGCGAGGTGAAGAGCCTTTTCTCCCTGTCTTGGTACGTGGCTTTGCGTGCCTTGTCCTTTCTGTTGCTTTCGGCGTTGACATCTCGGGCGTACTCGAGAACGAGATCTTTGCTCTTGCCAATGGCTTCTTTTTGGTCCGCGACGTACTTCGATAGAAAGTCCGTTGCGTTTCTGTATACATCAACGCTGTTTGCCGCGGCAAGTCTGTTGATAGCTTCTGTTGCTACTGCTTCTGCTGTGTTGATGACTGCGAGAGTCTCCAACAGTTTTGTCATGTGTTGTGACTGCATGGCCGGCTCGATCGACTCGGTCGAGTTCATTGAGGGTAATTGCTGTCTATCCATTGTCCTTGGTCGTCGTGGCAGACTGTGATGCAGAAGAGAAGGGCAGACTGTGATTTAGAAGAGAGGGACAGAAGTGATGTGTCCAAAGTCAACAAATGTCAAACATGGTCATACCCCGCCCAAGACAGGGAAGCCACCCACATGATAGCATGCAAAGATACCTACCTACCGACAACTCCGCAGCAGTCCATCGTCTGTTATTGACATACCCTAGAGCGCTAAATTCAAGGGGGCTGCACAAAAACCGCCGGAAACCGCCGTACAGCCCATTAGACAGATAGAGGTGAAAACGGACCACGTTGGATTGTCAACGATCATGTACGGTAAACCGCTGCCACCCGATGTCTATTCGATCTTTCAAGGTCTTTGCCTTTTTCCAATTGCATGTTGTAGAGTTCCCGCGACGGCGTGCGGCGGACAAGCGTGTAAGCGCGAATCGGTGCTGGAAAAAAAGAGCGGTCTAGGGAGATAGTTGGAGACTCTGAATCTCGTATCAAGTTTACAGAGCTATGCTATCCCCAGCTACGTTGCTGTAGATATCACCAAGGTCGATACATCCACATATGGATGCCCCATATCCAACAGTGTACCTGTTCCCTTTGATCTTTATCAATCTCCCCAGTATCACGGCATTGGCCACCCCAATCGTCCGCACGATTGAATACACGTTGTGTTGGCTTTCTTCTTCGACTCCTTGAAGTCCGCAAAGTATTTGGAGGACTCTTGTTTTACTGGTAACCTGGAGCGGTATCGCTAATAGGGGAATCTGCTCTGGAATCCCAACGAGACCTGTTAGTTTTGCCACAAAAGGACTCAACGTCATGTTTTTGACATACCGAGCTGGTGACCGGCCAGAAATCCAACCGGACCTGAGTCGACCCACTGTCATGGGAGATTTTGAGCAGATGTTCCACTGATTTATCGCGAAAATTTTCAAATATCCTGCCCAGAGTCGCCTTTGTCAGCCTTGTAAGTGATGTTCACGGCGCACGATCTGATTGGTTGAAACGTCACTGACCAAACAAAGCCTACCCCTGAAGTAAACATGGAGGCCCCTGAAAGCCAAGCCCCTGCATCGGGCCACAGCCGTCAGTGCGCGACGCATTGTCCCGACAGACATGAACGCATGTTCCAGGATCCAATCAGACGTGACGCAGGCATGTTCCCATGGTTGTACGGGTGCTGGCAACTGTAGCACAGCATAGTTCATGCTCCGTTGTTCACGACGGGAGAAGCAAATACTGTCCGCGGTGATGGTGTCGTATACGATATGGCCGAGGCGAGGGTACGGCCCATCTTTCGTACTTTATCGATTCGTCGGGCGATGCCATTGGATAAGTGGGTGTTATTTCATTCGATGTCTGGGGACGAGCAGGGCATGCTTCGCACTACCTAGAGACTCAGCGAATCTTCTATTTGCCTGATAATCCGCTAGTCTGGCCAGGCCCGGTCTGGGGCCGGGTGTTATGTCAGTCAATGTCTGGGACGGGAAGAGCACGTTTCGTACCACTTAGAGACTCAGTGAATCTTCTTTTTGCCTGATAATCCGCCAGTCCGAGTTCTTCTGAAGAATACCTCTGGTAGGGTTGGTGAACTGAAATGTGCTGAAAAGATAGGATCGAATTCAACGGGTGGCCGAGCAACGAAACTTCCTGAAGAGCAGAGGGAGCGTAAGGAAAAGACAGAGAGCCTGTGCCAAGCGGAGATGTCGAGCTGGAGGTTTGCGCCTGAGCATGCGTAAGAGGATGCGCTGGAGGCGGCTTGGCAAAGTCCTTGTGTTAGACATGTCGTTCGCCGGAATGCTCAAAGCAGCGCGGGGTCCATCCTTGTTCTTGTGGCCTCTGGTGCTGGCAATATTGGTGGGGAATGGACGTGAAAAGATGGTGAATACAGTGATAGCACAGCAACTGTGGCAAAGCCTTTTGTCGTGATGAGAGTCGCTGGTGAAAGAACGTCGGAAGATCTGGTGTGCGGATTTGGCTTTGGAGAAAAAAAGACGGAGACCGTGGCGGGTTTGGAAATCGGGAGCGGGAATTGAATAGCGCTGTAGCGATAGCTGGCGACGGCCCTAAATTTCTTGCTGGCCGACCCACTTTTCTCACAGGGCGCTTGACCCCGCGCCATCTAGCCATGAACTCGAGGCTGCCGTTCCGTCTCCGAGGCTTTAATGCCTTGCTTCAAAGTTAGGTAGAAGGTAGGCACCTCTAGGTATGCTTGGGTCCCTGGTAGCCTTGTTGGCGCCATTGCGAGCTTCAGCGAAAAGCCCGCTCAGCCCTGACGTCTCGACCAGCGCGACCCCCTACAGACAGGCTGACCTGCACCGGCCACGACTTTTTCCACAAAATTGTACGGCAGATGGACAAGAGCTGGACCTAGACACCCACATATTAGGGGCCGATACGCCCTTTTTCCGGCTAAATCTGACGCTGCGTCAGTCTTGAGCCTCGTCAGTACAATAGGTCTTGGCATAGGCCTAGGTATTCATGCCTGCTGTCGCTTCCACTTGTGATCAGAGGACGCATCATTTCGTACATTGGCTAACAACCGAGCGGTCTCATCATAGCTGTCAGGCCTTTCACGCTCGGGTTTTCCGTTTCTTTCACGATCAAGGAATGTCCAAGCCTCGACACCACTATATGTCCTTCTTCCCATACCCAGTCCGGTCTCGAGCCCGCCGCAGACCCCCTGACCAGACCCAAACCACACTCTCCCGTTGTCTTGACAATCAAATCTCTTTGTCAAACAAGCCCCCCATGACCAAGACCAACGCGAGGTCAGGGAGGAAGCAGAGTCCAGATTCCCCGAGCTCTACCGAGAAACGCCTGAACGATTCCTTACGCACCGGTGCCCATTCCAGCTCGTGGCGTTCGTCAGGCCAGTCCTCGACCACTCCCAACAAGTATGCCTACCTATGTCGAGCAGACCACGGTCAACGGAGCCCGAAGTACACACACAACATCCACTGCCTGGGCTCTTGGTACTGTTCCCGGTGCCCAGAGACCAGCCTGCAACCGCCGACGACGCCGTCTCAAGCGCAAAAAAGCAGAAGGTTCGCAAGTTGACGCACCTTGGGGTCGGCAGCGATTATGATTGCCACCTCATTGCGCCTACGCCTGTCATGGAGGTCCTCTGGGATGGCAAGCTCAAGGAGAAGATCACTAAGGACGTTTCTAACGAGCACGCGAGTCACAAGCTGTCCAGGTTTCAGCAACGCTTCCAAGCTTCTGACCATGAATGAGGTTCGTACCTTCCCACCTCCGATTGAGTTCCTCCGTCAAGCTGACATGAAATGTTCGATACAGTGAAACGGAAATTGTAAAGAATCATCGAGTCAAAGCAAAGTACGAAAGTCGAGTACAAGTTGGGTTACAGGAGGCAGCTCTACAAAAGGTCAAGAGATGGATAGAGGACAACGTCTTTATAGACATTTGGGCCATCTAACTTTGTGTGTTCCTGCAGGGTACCACAGACTGACGAACCGAGTTGCTGCTGTCATGCAGTCCTGCGAAGCAAGGGACGTGAAGGAGAATAAATCCGAGGGCCGAATGCATTCTAGCCAGTACGTAAACACAGGCGGTTACCAGAGTGCATCGAACTAACTAGCACAAGCCTCGCAGGTCACATACCCAAATCACGCCGAACCCTGCACCGCAGAAGCGATCCTCGACCGTCTGAACACGATATGACGCTTCCTCAACCACTCTGCATGATACCCGATTTCATATACGCTGAAGCCTCCGGCCCCCATAGCACGCACAAGTCTGCAGAGTTGCCGCAAAGTCCTTATACGACAGAGCTGGCCCGATCCAACACAAAGACCAAAGCAACTGGCGAAGGAAAGAGTCAGGTTGTGTTCGGAGCCGCTGTAGAGCTTTAGAGATAACGTTACATTACTATACATGGTCTGCAGCTGCACTCCCTGCACGGTAATGCAACGGTAAAGGTCTTCCAAAAAGCTACTTACTGCTCTGTGTTCGTTGGTATAGCTGTATTGCTATATAGCTTTAAATATAGGGTCAAGGTCCTTTAAAAATGTTAGAAATCTGGCATATCGCGGTAAGGATCCTGGCCTTCTAATTAGTCAGATGGAGAATTTGGGGTAAGTGCAGGTGGTTGCAGCAACTTGCAGATTTTTACTGAAATCGAGCCGAATGAGAAAAGTGTAGCTGTAAGACTGTACTTTACAGCCACCAAAACTGGGTTTTCTCTACAGCAATACAGCGGCTCCGAACACAACCTCAACGCTGCGGCAACCCGTTCGAAGTTTTGGTCCAACCAAAACAGATCCAAGACGGTCAAGTTTGAGCGATACAAAGATATCAAAGACATTGGAAAGTCTCGAACAAACACCGTAGTAGAGAGATACGGAAACAAGAGAGCTATCGAAATCAACATTGGCACAAATTCAAGACGAAGTCCACGTGTCCGCGGAGGTATTGATTCGGAGCGTGCTCAATTTTGGCTCATGTTGCAAAGGGGACAACCTGCTCGCGCCCTACGCTTTCCTACCCGCACCTCGTCTCCGACAGTACCGAGCAGGATGCAAATGGTAGCATGTTGGATCAACACAGGGATTACTCATGCATATATATCGAGGGTTCTCCTCTAGCTCTCCCTCCATCTCGTCCTCTCGTCTTGGTGAATGACCAAGTACACCACCACTCATGCCTTGGCATTTCCAACCACTTCGTCTCCTACAATACAACCGCTTTGAAAATCGGTCCTTCGACCATCATGATATCCTCACCCCAGCCCCGTCGTTGATCTCGACCTCAGTCGGTGTGATCCAATATCACTAGCACCGTTTTTGCCGTCAGATAATCACCAAAAGATGACTGCCCCCCCCCCCCCCCCCCATATACGATACCCAGAAAATTCTTCAAAGGTGCCTACAGTCCCAAGGTTGGGTGACCATGATTTCTTTTGATCTCGCGCGTATGCTCTGTCTCCAGTTTGACACGGACAAAGTGCTGATGGTGCTCGTGATGACGTGATCCAGATCAATGTCTTGATCGACCTCGTTGGTATGGCCTAGCGTGGAATGATGCCCTTGCACATAAGGCCCTCCGTAGTTTGGTATATGAACTCGAGGATGGCAAAAGGTCGTGATACATATCGAAGAAATGAGCCCTGTGTTTTGTCAGCGAATTATGAGTAGGTTGAGTGGTGAAATGGACTTCCTCGTCCACTCGTCGTACCTTGTCTACCTTTACGAAGATAACGAAGGTGAACAAGAGCATGACAAGCCTTCTTGGGTACTGTGCGACAAATTTCAATGAAATGCCATACAGTAGTTTCCAATCTACTTGTTTCTCGTCTCCTCCTTCCACAATCTCGGGAGTATTGGAACTTATAGCGTTTCCGGTGTCTCGTGCTAGGCCACCGAAGAGACTGGAACCCGCGTAGGAAACATTCGTACGTGACCCGGATTTCTACAAGTCGGGGCTGGGGATAAACAGGTCGGCAGAGTCAAGCTAATTTCGACCCCTCGAACAGCAATTGGTGTCAAGCTTTCCTGGCTTGGATTCAATATATTTGATAGTGTATGGTGACCCTTCGCGGCGAGTCATTGGGGATGGAGTGGAAGTTGGTTTCTTCAGCCCGTCATTCAACTTTATCCGCGGCATCTGATGGTCACTACAGTACCTCGCCGACGACCCTGCTAGGTATTATCAATATGAATATAAAAGTTCAAGAATGCCTTCTCAAGCCCACCGAATACTGTACTATTGTTGAAGATAGAATCAATAAACGTCCGTTTACATTTGCACATCAGATGCAACCCCGTTTCCGAAATATAGACGACGTCTTTGTTTGACAATAGACAGAGGTCAGGGTGAGACGGATTTTTTATTGTGGCCCATGCCAGGTACCTTACAGAGCTGTTTCTGCTCGGAATACATCAATACTTGTACAGGTTCAGGTGATTGGCCCACCTGTAGATGGAACCGGCCGGCAACTTCCAGTGACATTTCCACGGCGCCTGGGCTGCAGGTACCCTTTTCAGTTCTCGCTGTTGCTTCCTCGTCTGCCAGCAAACAACTTGGCGGTACACTTTTTTTCTCTTGTCACCACACAATCACTGACAGTAAGCTCATCGCTCCCTCTCCTGATGCCGCCTTTGACCAAGACACATGCTAACCCTTTACAAGATGGAGTCTCAGACAGACCTCGAGCAATGGTCGGCGAAGTTGGAAGGGATCAGCTTCGGCCCTAACCCACACTTCGCAACAGTTCAGTGTTTGCCCTCCCTCTGTACAACCAGACGCATCTTGACGGAGTTAGCCCGGCTCAGCAAAAGCGCCGCCCGCGAGCATCGACCTCGCGTCGAGGACACGTTGTTCATATATGTCGCACCGGATCGGAGGACCGCCCAGTTCCTCAAGCACGAGGACTGTAACTGCGACGCCGAGTGGGGCATTCTTTCTGCCCAGGAAGTGTGTCAAAAGCTCAAGTGCGGAGACCAGTGGAAGCCTGAGTCTGGCGGGACGTATCGGTCCATCACCGTCATCTTTGATGCTGCTTACATTTCGACGACACCGCACATGATTGCTGCCTCAGCTGGCCTTCTCCGCTTCATGGCTCAAAGCTTCAGCGCCAAACTTCTGTCATGCTGCACTGCCGTAGCGCTGACCGACGGCCAGCGTCCATTTTTTCCTACAGACGAGGAGCTGATTGAGGCATTTGGCGTTCATGCTACAGTCACGTATCACAAACTGATTCAGAACCAGCCCACAGTTTTGCGTTCTCCCTTGAACAAAGTCAGAGGAAACGCAGAAATCATTTTACGACACGTGCTCCTCCACGACGACGATGTCGATTTGGCGCTGACACAGAAACCAAGACTCTCGACACAGCGCAAGACAATTGTCTGCCTGGCTGACTCTGATACAGCAGACACAATTGCAAACGCAATGTACAACGATAATGACGTTTTGCGAGTCCGACAATACGCCACCAAACAGATGCGTGGCTACAGCCTCAGAATATGCATCGTCACTCAAGAAAATCTTGAACGTCATCTACGGGCATGTTTTGTTTACACCGACAATACTCCGGAAAACGAACGTCATGCCATTCTGTTTATCGATCCAGATATTCGTTTTGTCCTGCCGTTCCCGGCTACCATTGCCAAGCATTTCGCCGTTTTGCGCAACAATCTGCACGTGTTTGACCGCGAGGTGCAACAGGTTACGAGAAAACTCGTCGGAGTCTCTCAAGTAGAGCTGAACTTGGCTGCAACATTCGGGCTGGTTATCAATACACCCAACAGCCGCAGCGTAACGATTCTTGATGAAGATGCTTCATTCGCCAATATTCCAGAATCGCCGCTATCGGTCTCTTCAGCTTGGGCGCGAGACCCAATGACTACCCTCTTTTTGCTTGTTTCCGTTGACCCTACAAGGCCCGTCGAGCAATATCTGACAGTTGTGGCGCAACAGGCATGCGCAGATCCCCAGCTTACACGGGAATTGCTTATGCGGCTCGTCCACCGCCGATTGATTACCCACCGCAAGCTTGGATTTGGCCAAGAGGTTGCCTACGATCTGACCGAACTGGGGCGTGGAGTGCTTCAATTCCTTCATGGCTCCAGCACACTAATGTCGCTCGCAGATGCCATGTATCTATATCACACATCAGCCATGCAGTCGGTTGCGGTCAAGAGCACGCTTGCCGTTATGCGCTGCGTCTTGAGACTCGACCTCAGCAGGTTTCTGGGTGGTCCCGGTAACACCCTGAAAAGTTTCCTGGTCCACCCATTGTTGGCCGAACCATGGAAATCCATGTGCTACAAAGGCCCTTTGTGGGCCGCACTTGGTCTTCTTGTTCTGGCTTTGGGAAGAGGAGCCAACCCCACGACTGACTGCCTCATACCCGAGTTGGGAGGTTTCAAGATCAGATCCACCTATGTTCGCGCCTTCACAATGGCCTTGCGATCCACTTGCGAGACCGTAGGTCTTCCAGATATATATGTCAGCTCGTGGGTCAACTCAAACTTGACTCCAGCCGATATAAGGGCGGTAGAGAAGGTGCTGGTCGCTTCGGAAATCGACTGCGTTGCGGTAGCCCAGGATCTGTCCCAGGCCGGCCCAGTCATTGAAGCATATGACTTGGTTGCTCCAGTTCGTTTGCACCTCGGCTCGTACGATACTACGTGGTTCAAGCCTTTTCCAAATCAGCCACCCAAAGTTGATCAGCGCTACACGACCTTCTTCGTCCATCTGCCATATCGGCTTCAACAGAGCGACATTCCGTGTCGTCCCAAAGGCAAGCTGGCCACGCTGGTTTCTTCGAGCGTCGTCCATGAGGTACTATCGGAGCAGGAGGGCAAGGAGGCGGAGTAGTTTTCATGTCAGCAGAGTAGTACAATGCACCTTTTTTGCTGCTCGAGCACTTGCTGTGACTGTCTATGTTTTGTCCATAATAGTGAATAATGCGTAGTGCTATTGTCTTGTCCTTCCATCTGGTGCGATTTTGGATCTTTGACTCTTGGTTTGATAGACACTGTACAAAGATACGACACTGTACAAAGATATGACATGCAGCTCGCCACCATTTTGTGCTAACAAGCAAGTCAAAGCCAGCAGTAGGTCAGTGCTGGGAAGCGCCAAGCCACTGCACGTTTGGCTGCACCAAACGAATTCCTTTTGGACACATGTAGTACCCCTCCCTCTACCTGTATCCCTCCTCCAGACCTGTTTCTCACAACTACCACTTCATCACAGTTCATTGGCTTCGCACACTCAAAATGGACGACGACCACAAAATGATGAGAAAAAGCTACGTAACAAACGCCAAGGCGTTCAGGACGATTGCTCTCCAGCGCTGGCCCAAGCCCCAGACGAAAAACGACTCCGGTCTGGCATGCCTTGTGGCTGTCGTCCGGCATCTTCTCAGTTGTTTCCCACGCCAACTACGCGTCGAAATTGCGGAGACCGCTGAATGCTCAGAAGCCCTCAAAGGCTTCCTACAAAGCGATACGGAGCTTTCCTTCAAGAGTTTGCGTCGAGTCTTTGACCAGAACAATCCCATGACGTTCGAAAGCCTGATTGAGCAGCCTCCAATGGTGAGCATGCTACAGGACCGCCCGTGTTTTCAGTTCCACTGCGGTGAATACGCCACTCCGAACGGAGGTCCTCGTGAAGGCCAGACTCAGTTTCTTCAAGTCGCAGCCACAGGTATGGAGTGGGACGGCACCGGGCAACAATCGCTCACGGAGCACATCCGACAGCACGAGATGTATCGGAAATTCCTCGAAATTCAGACAGCCGTCAATTCAGAACGGGCCCCGAGCACCCCGCTAATGATCCGGCTCAAGTACACCAACAAGGCTCATGGCAGGTGGTTCCCTTCGGATCTGTCATCCTTCTCGCTACGGAACAGTTTCCCCGAAGACTCCGCGCCCAGCCCCAACGACATCTTTCGATACTACGCAGTGGCTGTAATCAAGCTCCGCCGGTCGGACAACGAGGATGATAGCTTGCGTCTATACGACGAATATGGCAACCCTCTGGAATACTCCAGACGTGTGGACAAGACCGTTGCACCTTGGTCAGAGGAGTGGACCATTGAGAACGAAGGCGAGTATGTGATTTACTACATTCGCAACAGCAGTCCCGTCACTCCTCCCTCTCATCCACTGGTGACCGTCTCACCGCCGCAGAGGACAATCCTACTTCAGAAGAGTCGACAAGCATTTGAGGCTTCGAAAATGGGCCAGAATCCACCGCAGCTGTCATCCAACGAGACACACTCGCCACCGGCGCAAAGCCAGCAACAAAGAGACCGACAGCGTGCGGGTATCCTATCGAATTCCACTTCCCGTCCCGTAGTGTCCCACTCCGATCAGGAAACTGCAGAGGACGCCAAGGAGAACGATCAACGTCAAGTGTTTACTAAGAATAACGAGCAGGAACAGACGAGCTCTCCCAAGAGCGTCATGTCACCCCCTTTTTCAGACAGCGAATCTGATTCCGATGACGACGATGAGCCACACCCGCAACTTGACGAGAAAATTCTATTCTTGTTGGATGACGCCATGGCAAAGTCAACTGACACAACCAGGAGAACAGCATCCAATGTCGAGCCACGATCACGGTCATCGGCAAGTCACAGCGTCATGCCACACCTGAGAAATCAAGTTTCAAACAGGGATCAGGTAGCTTCTTCGGTCCGACCCGAAGATCCCCAGAAATCGCAAGGCGTCCGTCATACACGGCATCAGCAGGCACAAAGGGGCGGCAGCCTTGTGGGTCAGAAGCCTCCGCATCCGAAGGCGGCTGCACCATCAGCCTTTTCTCGAACACAGCCCGAGTACCATGATAGAGCAAATAGCGAACGGAGGACTGATGATAGAGGCATCATGCAGTCACCTTCGCGGCAGTTTTACCCGGGTCGGTCGCGAGAATCATCGCCGACTGATCAGTACCTATGGAAGGCGACGAGATAGTTGGAGAGATAGATCCCCTTTGGATCACCGTCGTGCTGGCCGCGATGACCGCGGCACAGGCTCACAAACAGGAGAGCCGCCACGCACGCCACCACGTCGACCTCGAAACAGCATGGGAGGTAAGGACAACCGTCATGGAAGCTTCCGTCGACACTAGCGGCGCTACATGCCTGCATGCACAAAGTGGTACAAACGGTGGTGATAATAGACTCGAAAGCAACAGGGGAGCAGGGACCCATTCGATACAAGATAGGTAGTTTCGCTACAAGCTGAATGGTACCCAAAACCTCACATGCTCTCCGTGAAGTGACTCGGTGCCTGGTATCCAGTCTAATGTGAAATCCATCCCAATCTCGATATACGTTTTTATTGTTTGACTCCCGTCTCCTTTTGTTTCCTCTCTTCGATACTCGATCCGTAATTTCGACCTCACACTGTTTTCTGGGACTCGTGGGCACAAAAGGGTTGTTGTCTGTGAATTGCAAGAAAACCAAACATGTAAAAAAAAAAATGGGTATGCAAGGACCGGAAATACTTGGGGTTAAAATACGTGCCGCTCCAGTCCAGTGAATGGTATAAACTCCACCACATCACATTTTCATGCGTTCTTTGACATGTAATTACCCATTAATGAAAAAGACTTTACAGCCCTTTCGCTGAGTTTCAGCCTACTCGTGTCAGGCGTCAATGTCGACCTGTTAGTGACCAAAACTATCAAAACAAGTTTCGTGGGACATGGAATGTCTGACATCAATGATTTGAGCCTTGTACCTGTGTCTACAGCTGTAGGCATAGTATCTAGAAGCCCGACAGGGACCGCTGGCTACATGTCCCCCTAGCAATTACTGGAACCACCTCCCCTTTATTTTCAGAAGGAATTCAATACCTACAGTACACAAAGATACAGCGGTTGGTACTCGGCTGTTGTGGGCCCTTCTGTGGGGAGGAAAAGTCTGCGGCCGGCAGAGCAAGTGCGGCACTGCAGGAGCAAACGCAAAGCCAACTAATTCTCCTTCGCATTTTCCACCCGATTTGATTTTCTCTCTTCTCAACCAACAACCCCGCGATCGGTAAGAGCATCCTACTAATCACTCCCTTCCATTTCCACAATAGCTGCCGGTTGGGATACTGATATCGGTGACTCTTTACAGATTAGCAAACATGGATCGTAATAGGCGTCATTATCGCGATCGGTCTCGCGACCGCAACGAACAGAGGAGTGGCAGCCATCGGCGCCCACAGAGCCCGCGCAGGCGTTCATTGAGTCCGCACCGGCGCAATCGACGCCCGACTCAGCGTCAGGGAGCTGACCAGCGTTGGAATACTAACAACGAAGGCCGCATTCAGCGCTACGTAGAGCACGAACAATTTGCAGCTCTGACGCTCAATGACTTGTCGCTGCGAGACGTTACAAGGCCCCCCCGGGAAGGATACGTTTTTCCGTCTCTGCCGAGGAGCGATATTCTTCGCCAAACTGGGCATGGATTTCACAATCCTGACGTGCTCGAGCGTATCAATACCACAGCGACCCCGTCACTGAACTGGGTCACTGAAACGGGCAAGAAGGGAGAATACTTCATCAAGGGCACGATGAACGACGCTGCCATCGAGAACTTGACAAACACACTCAAGGATTTAGCACTCAAGAATGGAGGCGTGTGCTACAACATGACGGTCCAATTCCTTTGTGCCTCCAAGGCCAGGGAGCATCTCGATCGAGTTGACAAATCGTATCAACAGGCGCACCAAAGACTAACATATGGGGACCCTCCTCGAGGCAATTCTGCTGCCCGCTCCGTGTTGCCGCTGACTCTGACAGGCCCCGGAAGAGAGTCCCAGCCTGTCGGGGTTGATGAAGCAGAAGAGGCCGCCGCGCCGCAGCAACTGACCTGCGGCAACTGCAGAAAGCCCGGCCACGTCTTGGTAGACTGTGTGATTGCTAACGAGAAGGACGGCTTTGTCCATGGCTGCCCGATATGCAACACTTCGAGGCACACCCTCGACAACTGCCGACGCCGTTCCGAGGATGAGACGCAACGTCGTGAGCAAGCGCTCGAGCTCATGTACCGCAAGAGGTTCAACAAGCCCATGATTCTCTCCTACACATACACCTGGCCCTACCTCGTCGCGTGCACTATTGCCAACCAAAACGGGATAAGACCAAGAGCCTTCGACACAATCGTCGATGAACTCAAGTTGGAACCACCCATGAATATGTACCCGTGGAGTACAGACTTCGCAATCGAAATAATGAAGTATACCCCACATGAGCTAGAAGTCGCATATGGTGCTGTGCATCCTCTCGTCTTTGACTACGACGAGAATGATTTAAAGAAGCTGCCCACGGATTGGGGCTACACCGAAAAGTTTGGGCCTTTCATGGGCGTCATAGACGCATATACGCGACGCGAATGGAAGGTCCCGAGGCCACCGACTTCGAAGGTCAAAAAGCAATATGGCAACCGGGGCGACTACATGTACAAGCAAATCAAGGGTCTACTGACTGGCCACGGCCTGATTCCAAAGACTGTCAAAGAATCCGGACAAGGCATCACAATGATCAAGCAGGAGGAGGAGAATGGGCCAGTCCGCCTCAACGATATTGCGACCTACGACAGCCTGCGTGAGAGTGCCAAACAGTTTTACGAAGGACCTGCTCCTGAGAAGCCCAAATCCTTCAAGCGTCCGACGGTGGAAGTCAGAGGCGGAAATGACGTTGAACTAATTGTGCTAGACGATCCACCCGCGGCTGGAGAGAGCCATGTATGGCCTGAGAAATACCACTACATCGGCTCCACGTGGAACGACCGCCATGTTTCATACCACACTGTCGACGAAGAAGGCGACTGGTGCGTCAAGTGGGTTGTGCGGCAGTACGTTCACTTGTCTGCCGACGAGTTCCAAAAGTTGCCTAGAGGCAAGGACGAACCCGACCTTGCCAAACGTTTGGCATTGCATGCGATTGACAAGATTGTCTCAAAGTGGAAGCAAGGCAAACTTGGTGGCCAACCTCGTATCGAGAAAAAGCGCGTTACCAAGAGCGGTCCAGCTGCACCGGCAACGATGTCGGACTCTGCACCCGGGGGCTTGTCACAAGACTAGGTCCCTGTTTCTCATTCATGCCGGCAAACGGGTACAAAAAGACCCTGTTGCTGCGCCCAAGGATGGGGATATCATCATGGGCGACAGTGGACCGGCCCCGGCCAACCAGGACACTAATGTACAACAGGATACATTCATGGGCGACAGTGAACAGGCCCCGGCCAATCAGGACATTCCCATGGATGATGCTGCGCCCGCGCCGGCTAATGACTCTGCCGGCATGACCGACGTTGACATATCGGATATAATGGACGAATTACTCAGAGGATAGAACCGGAGTTGACGACGTGGATCCGAATGAAATGATCGACTATTCAGATTAGGATGAACATAGATTCAGATCATGATGAGTGCATCTGAAAGGATGGCTTGGAGCAGAAAGAATAGGCATTGAATTGATTCGGTCGGTGCTTGTGGCGTTTGTCTTCCCTTTGTTTCAATTTTCTTCGTGACTGCGTGATTGGTCGTCCCTACCTACCTCTGCTGGTGCCTCTCTTTACGATGCATATTCTGCTGAGGTTGACTAGATTCCATGCCTTCCACTTCAACTAGTACACCCTCAATCATTGTCCCCGATTTTGTCTTCTAGGTGAGGTACACATAGGTGGGTCTGTAATATGTCCATGTTCCGTCGACGTGCAATTAGACTTTGTGATCTGCATTCAATGCGACCCTTGCCCATGCATTTTCCGGGATATTGCACCGGTGGCTTTGACATACTGTATTATGTGTTTGCCGCTTCCAACTCTGATTCTGAGCAGCACAACCGATTTTGTATTCTAGGTTCCTTTTCGAAGCCAGCTGCAAGCATGTTTATCCAGTTGGTTTTGTTTGGAAATTGATGTTGATGTGACCACATTCAGACGAGATATAGCGCCGGTACTGCCCCCAGCACATACATCTGTATATACTACGTAGCCTCGTCTATGACAAATCTGACGATCTTTGAAATGGCTGTAAAAGTAGATGCCCTGTCACAGGCATTACCACAGTTCAAAAAGACATTGGCTCGAGTCCCGTTTGAGTATTGTCATCTAGAAACCTATATTTTGAGATCAGAGGTGTGACAAAGACGGTCTGATGCGTAGGTAGTGGGAGTATACCCAAGGCGGAATGTCAAACGTCTCAAGTGTTTCCACTTTTGACTGGGACCTCCTGGCCCTTGTATGTATGCCCTGGCGTTCTGTCTGGGTCCGCATAGGCACCTAGGCTGGTGCGCCCCACCGCCCAACTTGCCCCCGGGCCGGTCCCTGCGTCCAGTCGCGACCGCAGTGACCCCACCTTTCCCGTAGCCAAAGGCATCACTCCAAGGCTGCCCATTCCATTTCCATTCCAGTTTTCTCTCTTCACCTTTGTCGCATCACCAACCTACGACAGAGTTTGACTACCTATCAACCATGACAAAGCCAAAAGCCGCGGGCGCGCAAACCCGCGACCCTTACAATGAAATCCCAGGCTCGAGCGAGGACGAGGCATACCTCAGTACAAGATCCCGACCCACAATCGATCAACTTGAGTCTGATCAGGGCGATCATCGTCAAGAAGCAAATCGCCATCGCTCGCGTAACGCTAGGGCGGCCAGCTCTGAACTAGACCATGACGATGACGACGCTTACGATCCCACACGTGAGGGAGCCGAGCACTCTGAGCCCGAAGTTGTGCCCGAAGCACCGGCGCCGACAAAGCGCGGACGAGGTCGCCCCAGGAAGAACCCGGAACAGCCGGCTCAGCCCAGGCAAGACCGTCCAAGAGGCCGCCCTCCGTTGACAGGAGATGCTACAGGCGTTCCAGCCAAGCTCGAGATCAAGAAAATTGGTACCAACTTGAACGAAGTAGCGCGCAAGGACTTGATCAAGTTGCCAGAGTGGTACAAGATGGCTGGTGACTGGGTCGACCAACGCCAACAGAGGGTTGACGCACTTGACAGCCTTGAAAAGGTACAGAGGATATTACGCCGACCCGAAATCTCCGAGCACTTTTCAAAGGACGATCAGAAGTCGGTGGAGAAGAAATGGCGAGGTGATCCTGCGCGCAAGCGCAAGCTTGACCATGGTGGGAACACAAAGATTCTCAGCCTCTACAAAGACTGTTTGTGTCTGCTTCGTTGTTTGCCAGAAGACATCATCTGCCAGCGAAACTACCTCGAGTATGACGAAAGCGACCATAGGTCGTCCCTGGTATGGCGTGCCAATTTTTGTGAGGCCCTCAAGACGCTAATCTGTCACCCGTTTTGGTTGAACGACATCAACTTGTTGGTCACCGCCATCCACTATACCGTCATCACGGTCAGTAGTGACCGTCATCCGTGGAAGTACGAGACAAAGGCATCCGACACGTTTCCCTCTCGTATTCAAAAGCTCAGCCGAGAGGGCCAGAATCGCAAGATGCGCAACATCCGCATTCAAGCCGTCGAAAACATGCGGGCGGAAGGCATAACGCAATCCCAGTGGAATATTCTCTTTGAGCGCATTGAGGCTATTGCGGCCAAGAATAAGTATTCCAGTGAGGAGATATTGACCAACACAGGGCGGACGCCAAATGCGCCGTACAAAGTACACCACCTGCATCTCGAGATTCTAACGCTCGCCCTAGATTCTATGGCTGCAATGGGATGGCCCATGTTCCAGTCATCCGCAGCCCTGTACGAGGGTGTAAGCGGGCGACGCTCGCGGGATACCTATCCCCTAGCCGCACAGCTGTCTGACCTACGGGATTATGCCATTCTACGCAGCATGGAGCTCGATTTGGAGTACGAAAACAAGTCCCAAACCAAGTTCGAAAAGACTCAGCGTGTCACCCGAGAGTCTAATGAGGACAGGCAGGTACCACGAAGGACCACAAGAGAGTTGACAGTTCCCTCCAAGCACCTCGCAGCATCCGTTGTCGCGCCGACAAAGCAAGCCTTGCGGGTGGAAATCGCTCGTGCGGCTGACATCAATCCGAGCGACTTTGCCGTCGTTGACGACGAAGTTCCCGATAGCCAGCATGATCAAGAAGATTACGGCAACCTTGAAGACGAGGATCCGATTGGCGATCCTGGCGGAAACTTACCCAGCCGCCCAGATCAAGATGACATTGATGCAGATGAAGATCACCGCCCGCCGACGCGTACCAACAAGCGTCCACACGTGGATTCTGAGGGCCTTGAGACCTTGCGTCCGACGCACAAAAGGCCTCGGCCCCCCGCTGAGCAGTCAGCAAGGGGTGTTGAACAAGATGAAAACTTCTCCGACTACCCGGGCGGTTACCATGATCCGGGTGATGGCGGTAACCGTCCGCCGGCGGTAGAAGTTTCCGCTACCCAACCGCCATCCCATAAAGTGGGAGATTCTCAACAACATGAATCTGTAAAGGCAGAGTCGCAGCGGACTGCTCAGAGCTCGAACAAGAGGAGCCAAGATGACTTGGTCCCTGAGACGCAGCCTGAAGGTTCTCAAACGGCGCATAACGCGGCGGACAAAGTTGCCGCATCGGCTTCCAGTCAGCCTCAGACTTCCACTGGCTTCAAACATCCTTGGACCACCCCTCCCGGATATCGAATGGTTTCCATGGACGATGTCAGTCCACGAAAAATGGAAAGGCTGCGACGGATCTATGAGGAGAATAATTGGGAAACAGTCATGCGACGAAAACGTTCGGAAAGATTTCCAGATTGGTTGTATGAGTAGACGGAAAGGAACTTTGCCAAGGTAGTTTCTGTGGGAATATAGGAGGGAAGTTTGGGTGACTTTATGGCCCTGTATTCGTTTGGTGTGACTCTTGTGATTTGTGCCTATTGCCTTGTGCCTCTTGCCTTGTGACTTGTGTCTCTTGACTTCCTACTTTGCTCTGTCATCGGATCCACCAAAACCTGGCACGAATCGCTCGAAATTCGCCAGACCCTCTTCCATCACATCCTGTGCAGCAGCCGTAGACATATTCTGGGACTCCAAGTGCTCGTGGATGGCTTCAAACCCTTTTTCGTGCCTGACGCGGAAGTCCTTTATCTGCTGACCCTGCTCGGCTAGGCCGTTGGCCACCTCCAGGGCGCGATCGATTTCTGCTTTTTGTGCGGGGATCTTGGCTATTCGGGACTTGTGGGCTTGTAGAGCTTGCATACGAGCAACGTCCTCCATTGACCATGCAAGGTTCTGCCGCAGGTACGGCTCGGTTTGTGTCACGTAGACTTCGTTGGCGAATTGCGCGTGGGGTTTTCGTTCGCGTGATTGTCCAGTTCCTCTCACGTTGAAACCAAACTGGCTGACGTATGCTCCTGCCATGATGCTGACCAATTCCTCTGCTGTTTGAAGCTGATCTGGCTTCCAGGTGCGGATGGCGGTCAGGAAATGCGGTTTGGGTTCGAGGCCGCGTCTGGCGAGAAGGCTCAATGTCAGTCCGTACAGCTTGCTCACCTGGCTCAGCGCTGTCTTGTTTTCCCTTCGGCGGCGGTGTAGATGTACATGTTCATGCGCTCCCAGAGATTCTCTGAACAGCCGACGTAGCATGGCGATTGGATTGTCACGGTATTACCCGTCGGGTCTTTCTCCATTGCAGCCAGATGGGCCTTCCTCAGAGAGTCCGCCAGCATCAAAGCATGGTCTCTGGAGCCTTTGGCAATCCCACTCGCGCCCTGGACAAATTTGCTTATCTCGGGATCAGCTGCTTCTCCGTACATTGTGTCGACCGTACGAATCTCATCCAAGGCGTCCGCACTCGGTGCTACACCCTCCGTTCGTGCTTTCTGGACCCGATCGTAGCACTCGAGGTATTTCTGCATGTCAAGGTAGAGTGTCTTGAGTTCGTTGCCGCTCAGGAACTTGCCATTGCGGCCTTCTATCGAGATGGCGACGACATAGACCCCGGGCTGTTGGCGGGCAAACTTGTAGCCGTGTCCGCGATCGACCTGGCCACTCTGGTAGTGGTCATAGGCAACGGTTCGCAGGACCATTGACTTGAGCACGGCTCTTGGGATTGCATGCAACAGGAACCCGCCCGTTTCGCTGAGTTCCATCTTTTGCTCGAGTAGGGTGACGACTCGGGTCAAACTCTTTTCTCCGTTTCGCAGTAGCGTCCGAACCTCTCGGAGCAGTACGGGCAACGCTGTCTCTATGATGGCCAGAGGTGAGCAGTTCTCCTGCAAGAGCTCTGCGCATGTTTGACTGAACTCGCTCAGTTGCGGAATCTCTGCATTGGGAGCAGGCGGTTTCGTGAGCTTGTCCATCGCGACTGGAAGGCGTGTGGTGATTTTGATGAACGGAAACAGAAAAGGAAGAAGCTCGTGCTTGGGCTCGGATTGCTTCAAGTTTTCCCACCCATGCATGTCATCATCGGACTTGTGTGTGTGTGTGTGTGTAATTGCACCGAGTTTGGAAGGTGGGACAAGTTGCTCATCGCGACTTCCTCTCTAGTCTAGAAGTAAGGCAAATGACCCGCCTCGATACCTGGCGTACCAGGCAACTTGGGACTTTGGTTCCTATGACATCGACATTCTCGTCTTTGTTTTGCTACATTGAAGTACCACACGCAGCCAGTCGACCACTTCAAATCAAATGCACAGATACTTTGCCACGGAGCCGAGGGCTCCGGCTATAGCCACGGCCGATGTCGAGCGGCGGTATGCCGATATGGTAACAGCCCTCGAAGAACTCCGCAAGAAGGAAAAAGAGGTGCCAGGCGTGACGGACGCCGACGGCCAATGGATCCAGAACATGGGTGAAAAGCTGCAGAGGGATGAACGCACCTCCAAGCAGGCTATCAACAAAATAAACACTCTCAAGAAGCGTGCGGACACCCTTGATCCGTTTCTGAAGGCCAGGCCCTCTCAATGGGACCACATCTTGCATGAAAAGCGTCCAGTTGCTGCCACAAAAGGCTTCATCACGGAAGTGTGCACGTGGCT